TCCCAATCCACAAGGGGGATTCTACAAGGCAAGCTTTGATGCAGGACCCATGGTTCGTGAGCATCCAGATGGTGGAACCAGAAACTCTGATGTTGTCCCCTCGAAACCCATTCTGGAATGCAACGCGTTTCACTATTTGATGGCGTTTTTCTATCGCTTAGAATAGATTCATATGACTCCGATGACCCAGAAATAACTCAGAAATGTCACAAAATCAAATGGGGGAGATCAGTGGCAATCACAACCAACAAAAGAAAAAAACATCATGGCTCATAGAGGTTCATAGGACTCACAATATCGCAGACTGCTAAACCCAATGATAGTTAAACCCTCCCCAACATTATAACCACTTAATTATAACCAATATTATAACCAACATTATAACCATTACTAACCACAATGATTAATGTTGGGTGATAACCTAAAACCATTGCTAACATTATAACCATTTGCTAACCATTATTTACGCATTATAACCATTGATGATTACTACATCGGCAATGGTAAACCCTAAGCAAAACCATCCCCAGCCCGAGGCCCAACGGCGCTGTCCATTTCGTCTCCAGTGCCCAGATCCGGCACGTACATGCAGGACCTTCGGGGGGCGACTTATGGGACGACTTTATAGGATATGAAACCATAGGAATCTATGGGATTTATTGGGTTTCAGTGGGTTTTAATAGGGATTTAATAGGGATATTTAATAGGGATATTTAATAGGAGTCAATGGGATTTAGTGGGATTTAACAGGATTCAATGGGATATTCATGGGATTTAGGGGCTTTAATAGGATACTCGCGGGACTTAATAGGACTTAATAGGACTTAATGAGCATATCATGGCCGTATCATGGGTGTATCATGGTATATCTTGATAATAAATTCAAACATAAAGTTGGAACTGGGGGTTGTGCTTGTAGAAACTATGGCTAGATGGATTTATAAACCAACTTATGAAACTGAGGGGTTTTCTTGGTCAGATGGGAAAGTTCTGCCCCTTCGCAAAATGTTTGGCATCCAAGGATGCCATAGAAATCCAACAGCAACAGCCACCATGGACAGCAAGTCATCCACCTCCAATCACGACCAAGGCATCCCCTTGAGGCCCCACGCATTCCGGACCCCTCGGCAGCCACCATCTCGCGTAGGATGGCCATGACCGCTTCGCTGCCTGAGCGCCAGTAGATGTGTGGATTGGTTTAAGGGAAAATCTTAACCGGAAACCATGGGTTTTTACCATCAAATATGGGGGTTTCCTGTAAATTTTCCCATCATCCAATTCTATGACAGTGTGACTGATGGAGTGAAAAGTGTAAAGAAAGCCGGCTGAGTTCAGGACGCTCTGCCAGCTTGTTGTGAGCCACCATCATGAAAAGCACCTGCCAAATGGAGAAACACGCCCAGGAAAAAATCTCTCCGAAGAGCTCTGAATTATGGAACTGCCAAACTTGTACCATATTTTCATCCAACAATGTCAAGAGCATGAAGTATGACTTGGTATATTATCCATTCTATCTACCCATATTTAGCCACTACCCCGCTCCAAACAAAAGAAAATAGAAAAGTAAAATCGATCCTGAATTCATCTAAATTCTAGTCGTACACTGAACCTGATGTATCCTTTTCTATCTTTTTTGGGGGGGCTAGTGTCAAAATCTCAGAGCTATGTCACGCACGGCGCCTTCTCTAAGGACTCCTTGCCCTCCGCAATCAGCTCCAGGAGCAACTTGTCCTGGCTATGTCATGGTGTTTGATGTATCTATTGTTTTTGTTTTTGTTAAAGCTAGTATTCCAGAAGTAAAGAAAGCTGCAAATGAAAAAAGTGCAGCTAAGCAGGGTGGCTATATAAATGGAAAAAAAATGTTGGAAGTCATGTTTTCTAATGATTTGACATGAATTATATCAGAAAGTATATGGAGGTTTCCTGTTGTAAATGTTCCCGTCGTCCCTGGGAAGTGTCGTCCTGCAGTTGGCGCCCATGAGAAAATAATTATCTGATCTCATTATATATATATATATATGTATTATGTTACCCTCTGGTAATTTAACATAGCTGTGGAAAATTGCCCATTTATAGTTGATTTACCTATTAAAGATGGTGATTTTCCATAGCTATGTTAAATTACCAAAGGGTATTTTCCAATTGTTCATATGGCTGAATGAAGCTGTGGCGTTGGGGGATTTCAAGTTGTTGCAAGGTTGAGTCAAGGGGGAGTCAAACTTGAAGTGCCGGATGCACGCACATGCAACAAATGAAAGAACGACCAATCGAGGGAGGCAACTTCTGCTTAGGACTTCGGCTTGCTAAACAGGTCAGCAAGGACGTAAGGCTGCTTCTTCCTTGGTTCACTATCAGAAAGCAAAATTCCATTTGGTCACGTTGTGTCAAGTTCGTTGCGAATCCGTTGCCAATACCCCAGAAAATGGGGGATGGTTTAAACCAACCAATATTAAACCAATATTACCCTCTGGTAATTTGTTACATAACTATGGAAAGATCCACCATTTTTAATGGGAAAATCCACTATTTCTATGGTCATTTTCAATAGTTATTTAAGCCATCCCCCATTTTCAGAGCCACATCATCCGTTCATCCAAGGTTCTGGATGGAGGCTGCAAAGGGCCGCTCGTTGGAGAGGTACTTCTCTAGCACGCCGCGGACCTGCAATGACCATGGTCAAGATCCAAGAAAACCATCCTCTGGTAAACTAACAGTTTGCTATTGAAAATGGCCATAGAAATAGTGAGTTTTCCCATGAAAAATGGTGATTTCCCATAGTTATGTGAGTTTACCAGAGGGTAAGATGTTTAAAAAAAATTGGGGATGTGATCGATGAAATCTTGGAGTCAGAGTCCCCGGCAGTTTCTGCTGCTGCCTCCCGGTTGGCGAAGCCTGGCAGAGATATCAGCATGGCTATGCCTGGAAACTAACCCCCATCTCGTTCGATGATTTTCCCAGCTACAAACCATGTATATCCATTTACATATATATATATATGTTATATATATATATGTTATATATATATATGTTATATATGTTATATATACATATATGTTATATATATATACATACCCCATTTATATCCGTTTATATCCATGATTCTGAAGCGGGTTTCCCAGCCTGCCATTTTTGATGATCCCCAAAAACGGCCAGAAATCTCCGCCTGCGAACATGCGCTCCACAATCAGAGGACCCTTCGCTTCCGTGCAGTAGCCTGAAGCCGCTCAAGGGTCTGCGGCCCAAAAAGCTGCCGTTTGATGTTGGAAACCTGGAAAATATGGACAGAAATAAGGAAAACATCCTCGAAGTACCATCCTGGAAACACTGTTCATTACTTCCGCATCTTTTTGGGGGGTTGCTAGAAGGGGATATCCTACAGTACCAGACAAGCCTTAGAATTGATGGATAAAGAAGCCCACACTGAGTAATCGTTAAACCCCAAGTATTGATGAACAAATTCTATTTAAAAACATTGGTTGGTGGTTGAATACCTATGCTTAATGGGGAAAACATCATGTTGTCCTGCCTTTTTGTCCAAGCAACCCAGAGTCCCAAAGCAGTGACTCCAAGATCTCGACATCTTTGTTTTTGCTGAGACGTTTGGTCAGTTTCCGAAACTTGGGCGAGCCCGTTTAAACAATCACAATGATCTGCTTAGTGGTGGCATATGGTGGCATAGTGGTGAGCCTTGCTGGTGCGATTCAGGATCCAAGCCAGTTCAGACAAATCAGACTACAATCATCATCATCATCATCATCATCCTCATCGTCATCATCATCATCATCATCATCGTCCTCATCGTCATCATCATCATCATCCTCATCGTCATCGTCATCATCATCCTCATCGTCATCGTCATCATCATCATCATAATAATCATATCCCATTGGCCTATATTAGATTGTCATAACAACTATCGTAAGTGAAACATTGGAAAACAAATGACTCATCAGTAACTATAACTCATCAGCAACCTATCATAACTGTCATTAACATGTGTAATGTTGTGTATATGATAGTTATGCATATACTGGTATATATCTGTAACTATGATAGTTGTATTATGGTAGTTATGATAGTTGTGTTATACACTATTCTACCATATACACAACATTACACAACTACCATAGCTACCATAGCTATCACCAGCAGCTCGCTGATCGCGCTGATCGCGTCGAGGGACCATCCAACAAGGACAGGAGCTCAGCGCGTGGCACCTCAATGTCCTGGGCATCCGATGGTTTTGGGTTGTTTCTCGGTCACTCTTTAAGTGGGAAAAGATGGGGAAATATGGGAAAATATGGGAAAAGATGGGGAAAAATGGGAAAAACATGTAAAAATATGTGGAAGGAAGAGATGCGAACATATGCTGGGGATGGTTTATAAAACCATTTAAAGACTCATTTATGAACCTGGAAACATCAGGAAACCATGGTTGTCACCCCCAGATCTAGAGGGGGAGTTCCAGAGTTCCGGTTTCGATGTTCCCTCTAACGATTTCTGGGAATCAATTGCAGGCGCCTAACGTGTGCAAGGTCTGTGTAACGTCTGTGCAAGGATGTATCCCCCATATGGGTAGACCATCCTGCCTGTTCCATGGGCGCGCCAATGGTGAACTCACCTTCAAAGGGCAAGATCTTCTTCACCTGGCAGATCCCCCGTCGTCAACGAAGGATCCCAAAAAGGCCCACGGGGCTTCACACCTTGGACGGATCTTTCAACTCCAACCTGGCGATGTGGCGATGTCGGGGGGCTTTTTGAAAGGCCAAGGGGAGACATTGATGGAGTGAGATCAAGTTGCTACATGATCTGCTATGACCATCATTGATATGCTAAAACCTTCCATTTCATAATGCATCTGTACCAGTTTTAAGAAAAGCTTCGTGTTCCAATTGGTTTCCCCCCAATTCCAATGGATTAGAAATGATCATATAGAGCAGATGTTTTCCGCCCAAGAAATCCCTATGAAATCATGGACACTCCGCGCCTGGCCAACAACTCCCCGGCCGACACGATGGAGCCGGCGGAAAGGGCGTGGGAGACCTTACCAGCCTCGGGGGACTTCAGGGCCTCGGAGAAAGCCGCGGAAACGTGGCGATTGGAACCAGCCAACAGGGGGATTCAGTTACCCTCTGGCAAACTAACATAGCTATGGAAAGATCCACCATTTTTAATGGGAAAATCCACTATTTCTATGGCCATTTTCAATAGCTTTTTGTATGTTTACCAGAGGGTAACTGATTTATAACTGATCCATAACTCAGTTCACTGATTTCACCGGGAACATCGAAAATGCGGGACTTCACCCATGATTTTTGTGGACATGGGGCTCCAAGATTTCGACCATGTTATGGAGATAGTATTAGGTGTGCCGGGCAAATCACCGACACAACTTGGAGGCGTGTCCCAAAAATGATCCAAAACCAACATCCAATTGTAGAAAATCAGGTTCTTTATGAAGTTTTGGCAATTCTGAGGGTACCCATGTTCGAACACACCCATATTTTCGAAATCATGACTTTAATAGCTGGAGTACTGACCCCATCGACCAAGTCGTTTCAGTGGTGTTTGGTGTGCCATGAATGATAATGATGTTATCAAGGGAAAGTGCCTTGAAAAACTCAGAATGTATGACGTAAGACACCAAGTAGCGCGAGCCAGTCGGAGAACACAGCCTCTTCATTCTTCCTGCTTTTATATATATATATAAACCAAGTATAAACAATGTATAAACCATTTGTACCCGATTTATAGACCATTTATACACCGTGAAAAAATCCCAATGTGTACGCCCCGTAAGCTTTTCGATCAGGCCCAGTAGGTCCCCCTGCCATGATCATCTTCATGGCCTCCAGCTCGATATATGCATCACCTGTCAGCCACTGTTTGATGATGGCTTTCATGGGGGTACCCCAGTCATCCATTTATAGATGGATTACCCTCTGGTAAACAAACATTGCTATTGAAAATGGCCATTTATAATATTTATAGTTGATTTACCGATTCAAAACGGTGGATCTTTCCATAGTTATGTTAGTTTACCAGAGGGTATAATGGAAAATCCATCTATAAATGGATGATGACTGGGGGTGGGTACCCCCCATTTATGGAATAGATCGGGATTTTCCATGAAATCAACCATCCATTTATAGATGGGTACCCTCATGTCCATAAAAAAGTCATGCTCTGATAGGTGGAGAAACCGATCCCTCAGCTTTCGTTTTTCTGGTAGTCAACCAATAACCAATATAAAACTCTGAGCTGGAGATTTTGGAAAGGTTTGAACAAGCGGCAAGCGGCACGGCCTTTCGCAATCTCAGTTCCCTCATCATGCAAGTAGCGTACCACCTGAGTTTGACATCTGCTAAAAGAGCTGGCGATCACACCACACGCACCGTTTATTTAGATGTTTGAAAGCTAGGCTCACCTTTTCTGAAACCATGTTTCACACATGCATCCGAACATTAAAAAAAAACAGCTGTGATTGGATGATGATTGACTGATACGGTGCTTATCTGTAGAAGAACCCCTGCTTTTGCTGGGAAGGCTATTTCCCAATGTCCAAAGCTTGATCTTTCCCATAGGGGGTGCAGTTCCACTAAATCAATGGGAGTTATAATATGTTATAACCATAGTTGTAGGGGTTATATATCACAACTTATGGAGGTTAATTGGAGGTTAGAATCCCATAATTATACCCATAATCTAACCCCAACTGCACCTCCAAGCAGTCCGCCGAGCAAGGCTGAGTAAGGCACTTTGCCATTCACATCTGAACGCAGCTCCGATGGATCGTAGACCGTGGGCACCATGATGGTTTGTGCACCTGGCAGATATCATCAGGGTCATTCCAACAAAACGCCTGAGAAATTCTGAAATTCGGCATGTTATCAGATATCAATAGATCCCATCTTTTTTTATTTAACGCAGCTATCGAACGTCACCATGTCTAATAGGTAAATCATAATAACTCATCTAGTCTATAAATGGACCATCCAAATTCGCTATGTTAACTAACCAGAGGATATCATCCATGGGCCATATTTCACCATGGATTCTCAGGCATCATCCACACAAGAAGTGATCCAATGAAATTATCGGGTCAAAACGTTCTATCCAAATAACTCAGGTTATAACCTGTGGCTATTTCTCCAAATAGAAATTCAATGAAATTCATCCATCCATATCTATAAAATATCTAGAAACAGCTTTGTTGGTCTAATCAAAAATCATCTATAAATGGGGCTCAAAACTCTGTACCCCTGTAGTTCCCACGTCCCAACAACTGTCTGTGGTATCCCACGGCGCACCAATGATCAGTCGCAGCCCCAAGGCTTCTTCCTGCCCCTTCACCTGCTGACTGATGTTGCCTCGCCAGGCACGTCCTTTTTGATCCATCAAGTAATGGTGTTTCACTATAATTCATAGGGATTTCATGGGATTTCAACTATGATTAACAGGGATTAAACTGATTAAACCCTCAACACTAGAGATTTGAGATTTACGGGCCGACTTGGGTGGCTCCCTTGTGGGGGTCAGTTTTGCTATGACTCGGGGATTCCAACCTCCATAACTTGGGATATGGGGCCCCTACTATGGTGATCTAAGCCACTTGTTGACAGCCTGTACCCCCTGCATGGGAGGATTGATTCCCGTCTGGCAATCAAACAAAATCCACGAGACGTGGCCATGGGATGTGCTTCGCACGCCCAGCCTAGGCTCACATAGAGGGAGCCGTCAGGTTGCTCCCGTACCTGACTTTGCCGGACGAAGAGTTACTGTATATGTTTTACATGTATTATACATTTATGTATGTACATAATATATATATATATACATAGTAACCAAAAAAAAATGCTGAAGGATATAACTATTTTAGAAGGATTTGACTGCTATGTCTGTGACTGTTGATGATTCTACTTGCATTGTAGTTCCATCATGTCAACCACCATATTTGTCGAATGTTATCTATATAATTATATATTATATATGTCTATATCTATATGATTTCATGTACATGTATATGTATGTATCTGCAACATTACATGACTAAACAATCTACACATCAATCTATCAAGCAACTGTTGATTTCAAAACTTATGTCTTCCCATAGCGACACAGCAGCCACAGCCGTCCAGCGACGGCACCTGGCCTTGGCCTTCAAGGTCTTGCCATTGATGGTGAAGGAAAAGGTGTCTGGACGCGTCCTCACAACCGATGCAGAACTGAAGTTGGACCAGGTCCAATGGTCCAAAATTGATTTTCTCTGTATTTTACCAGGTCAACCGACAATGGGGTGAAATACTAAGCTAACACCGTTAAGCACTCAGCTCTTTTGAACCAACGTTATCGGGCAGATCGATGATATATACAATACATGGTTTTACTGCAGGAGTTTTTACACCCCCCTCGGGCGAGCAGGGACGACTGCGGAGAACGAATAACCCAGAAAAGCATACCCTCGCGGGTAGCCGAATTTCTTTAGTTGGTTTTAGACATTTTGTGCAGTCTTTCAAAGGTCCCTCTAAAAAGCTCAAGCCCGTAAAACCCAGCGCAGCGTTGCAAGGAAGGCACATTACCATGCCACATCTTGCGCTATGCTACAAAAGAAAATCATCGTCTCCCTAACGGTTCCAAAAGATCCAACGGCCGCCGGCCTCGTCACGGTAATACCAAGCCCCACGCCAGAAACTCCATTCTCGGCGTGCACCATAGTGATCACGATTCCAACTCCAAGAGGCATCCGGGCGACCGGAGCTTGCAGCCTTCGAAGTGACTCCTGCGGTTGCTGCTTTTGCAGTGGGCGGTGTCTCAGGCTCCAAGAATGGTCGTGCTCCTGCTTTGGATGTTGGTGGTTCAGGTACCAGAAATGGTGCGGCTGGGGCATCAGCGTGCGAGGCATCTGCGCGAGCAGAGCTTGAGGCGGCTGTGACATCTGGTGCGGTTGCGGATGCATCAGCTTCGGCTTTGCGCTTTCGCTCAATGGTGGGCGCGACCGTGGGGTCGGCCTTATGACCTCCAGGACCTCCAGCCTTTGCAGCGGCGCTCTGCTTCTCTTTGCGTTCAAGATTGCTCCGAACCAAGGGAAGGTTTTCCTCATACACCTTTTCGAGGAAATCGCGAGTGCCATCAAGAGGGACTTGGACAGTACCCTTCCAGGTCAACAGGCCACGGAATGCGCCACGACGGCCGATGTAGCTGACATATTCATCCTCTGTAAAAATGTGGCGGCCAAACATGAAACCCCAGACCTTCTTCCATGTTTTGCGGAACTCAACTGGGAAGCCATCAACGCCACGAGGCTGAGACATGAAAATCAACTTAGATAAGCAGTTCTCATTTTGGGCATTGGCGGCGACGCCAGCCGAGATCTGAGCTCTGGTCCTTGGGGGATCGGGGAGGTTGCCATATGCGAACATATCATCGAATATGCAGTCCTGCAGGTCCTTCCCCTCACCGTGGATGCGGTCGCAAAAAGTGACGTCGCTGGAGTATCTGTCTTCCACGTCCTCGTAGCCCAGCGCTTTTGCACGTCGATGCCTGTCGCGGCAGTCTTTGAGGACTGCTGATTCCACGGATGTGATTCCCCTGGGGCCCAGTTCTCGGCGTAGCAGGTTGGCTTGCTCTTCCGTCAAGGCTGTCAGCAAGCTTCCGCTCATCTTCCCAAACATTCCGAACCCGGCGAGACTTTGCATTCGCCGTTCAAGGATGCGGGTCCTCCTGTTGGGTTTGTTGGCCTCTTTTGTATCGCCACTTTCGTCCACTGGGAGTGGCTCAAACCCACATGTGGTGCATGTCACTTGGCCACTGACGTACTCAACCTGGCAGAGGGGACAGGAGCCCATGAAAGGTTCGCAGTACTTGGGTGCAATGTAAACACGGCGCGTCCTTGCGGGCGGCTGGTCAACTTGCATTGAGGCAGTGGCTGCATCATCATCAGTGGACTTGGCATCGGGTCGCCCCGTGCTGGTGTCATCCATTGGGTCGTCATTTGCATCATCTCGGGCAGTCAAGGTGACCGCTTTGGCTTTCGGTGCTGAGGCTGATGCCGCGCCAGTCCATGTGCTGGGCTCGAGATTGCTCTCGGCGCGGGACCAAAGCACCTGTCCTTCTTCTGAGATGCTGACCAGAAACTGCGGTGGGATGCGTTCTGAACACAAAATCCCATCCATTTCTGTGCGACTAAAGATGACACCAGCTTCAACTGCTTGCCGCATTGCGATTTTGACTTCGATTGGACATTTTGCTCTTAATCCAGATCGATACCCCTGCGTGCCAATACAGTGTTCTGCCATGTAGATGTGAGCACGGCCACTGTTGACTGTTGCACCGCCGCCTGGAATCAGGCCGTTCTGTGCGATGCTCTTCCAGCTGCTTTTCATCGTGCGATGGAAGACAACCTCAGGAACCTCAGTCATGGCACACAGGGGCACGCCAGTGAAGGCGGCTTTTCGCTCGGGGGATACATGGTCTGAGCAATACACCATGGTTGAATTGGCATAAAGACCCCCTGCGGTTTTCAAGGCAGCTTCGGAGTGACCCTGAATTGCACGGATTTTCACAGGATAATACGGCATGCCTAGGCCATTGTCGACAGGAAAATGGGAAATCTTTGCACACAAGAATTGGAACCTACTCTTGCCATGCTTGTCGATCTTCATTGCGGTGCCAAACAGGTTTGCAACAGTGATGAAAACATCTGGGGGCACTTCCTTGCGGAAGGCTTTGGCGAAATCCTCCAAGTCAATCCAAAGGTCTTTGTCCATTGGCACCTTGGCACAGGATCCGTGCCCCCTGCAAACTTTGTTGACACGAGTCGCAAAATCAGAAAACTTCTTGTCGACGCGAGTCTGGCTGGCAATGGTCTCAACGTCGGATGCCGATATCAGCTCCAGCTCATAAGCCGTACCTTCAAAGAGGATGCCGGGCACATCGTCCCCGTCTGCATTGGTCACCATTGTATATTGGTATTCAGGCAAATGCTCTTCCATCCAATATGCTTTCACGTGGCCAGGTGCTTGTCCCTCGAAGCGCGCAGTTGCCTGCGGCTGGTACTGGCTGGATGTGGCTCCCTTGTCATCTGCGGGCTCATCCATTGATGCTGGTGCTGCTTTCGGCCGCGACTTCAACATGACCTCAGCTGTCTGGACCAGGATTGTTGCTCTGCTGGATGCAGCGGGCTCGCCGTCGCCGGCGGCCTTTGGAGGGTCATCTTTGGGAGGCTCAGCGAACGTGCCCGAAGGCATCGTCTTGATGTCGATGTAGTCCTCAGCGTCAGGTTGTTGAGCTTCGACGTCCTCCTTGGTGAATGACCTGCCCGTCGGCACAATGTGTCTTCGGGACTCTCCAAAAAGCAACTTGGTGATGTTTGCGCATGTCTCCTGATAGGATCTTGGCAGCTCGTCCAGGACGGCGCTCATGTTCCTCCGCAAATCATCCCATGTCTCCTGGGCACACTCAGAAAGCTCCAAACCAATTTGGCCGACCCGCCATCCGGAATCAAGTGGGAAAAGGGTAGCTGTCCAATAGGCAGCAAGGCGCGTGCGATTTTCTTCAGAGTTGGCGAAATGCCACTGGTCTCTGAATTCCATTGCATCGGCGTACCCCTTTGCTTTTAGCCACGGATACCGCGGATTGGCACGCCCTTGCAGGCTGCTGGTTAGAGCTTTGAATCGGGGCTCCAAATGGTCGAAAAATTGATCGAAAATTGGATGAATGCCGTAATCTGCGCTCCAGGGCGCGGTCGTGAGACCGGCCGTCTGCAAGTCCAACTCCCGGGCCTTGTTGATGAACCATGTCAAGTGGCGCTCACAATCATCCAGGATCGTGGGCCAGTGCCCGTTGGGACCATCGTACGGCCAATTTGGATTTTGGGCAATTCCATCCTCTCCTACCAATTCATTTCCGAACCAGGACAAGTGCAGGTTGATGCGTGCATGAGGATAGCGCTCGCGGGCGTCCGCGGCCAATTCGATCCCTCTCTTTACCAACTTCTGCAAAGTTTTGCCCCAAAGCATCTCGTGAATGAACTCAGTCACGTACTTGGGTTTGCGCTGTCGGTAGTGCTCGGATAGATCAAACTTCTTAAGTGTCTTCCTACGCCCTGTGATCAATGCACATGACGAGTCAGAGACTAAGATCCAGATTACGTCATTGACGGGCATCTCTGGCAGCATGATCTTTTCGATGTGGGACTCCTTTGGCAAAAAGCAGAAACTAAGGTATTCTGCAAGCGGATCCTCTCGACCATAGAACCTCAGGGCCGAAGCCGGCGTCCATTCGGTCATCAATCCATCCACAAGGTCCTGAGCAGCCTGATTCTCACCTTCATTGCGCATGGCCAATGCATACAAAATGCGATTGTGAAGGAGCAACCATGCTTCTTTGTTAGCCTCACGTGTGGCTTCGAGCGCAGCCTCGCGGCTGGCCGGGTGTGCTGTGGCATATCGTGAGTCAGCCATTTTTGCAGGACAGGCACGAATGACAACGGGTGAAATCCTTTTGGATGTTTGGCCCACCACAGCTACCCGGAAACACTCATGGAGCATGTCAGTCAACTTGAAGGTATAGTTCTCAGCAAGTTTAAGAGCTTTGCCCCTACTTTGATCATGCTCATGTTTGCCATCACATTTGAATGAGTCTAACACGGTGAGTTCTTTAAAATTTCCTGCAATAGTCCAACTTTTCTTCATTGGTTGACCGTTGTTTCCAAGAACACCCAACATACAACCATCAAAGTGATGAGTAGTCATGGATCGTTCTTTGAGGAATCTTCTAACCATCGGCCATCTCCAATATTTGCAATTCTTGGACAGTTCAAATGCTATCAAGGTTCGTTCATCATAAACTTCATCCACAAGTTTGACAAAAGATTTGAACAACTTGGTAAACTGTTTTTGTTGCTCTTTGATTCTTTCTTGACCCTCGACAGTAAGGCCATTCACGTTTCCCCATGGGCTACCTCCTACACAAGGCAACGATGCATAGAGTATCAAAGTGCCATCATTGAAATCATTTCTGAAATCTTGGACTTGGGAGGCTAGCCGTTGCCGACAGCTGTTAGTGGTACCATCTTCTTTTTCGGTAACCCTAATGCAGTGGCAATCTTCATTGGACTTTCTTGGGGTACTAAGCTTCGAATCATTAGAGCAGCAAAATTCGATCAACATTCTGGGCTTAAAAGACTTTTGGGAGCCCCCCTGATTCC